GTTACAGGCTGAGTCATTTCTACCTTCTCCTCTCTGTCAGCGCTCTCTGGTTTCATTTAAAAGAGTCGATCATCAGATATTGTCCAAGACTAACCTTCAGGGTGGATATAGCTCGCTAGCAGCCTCGAACCGATGACCTATCCACGTCATCATTTACCCAGAATGCTTTGCGTGTAAATAAAATGGCTCCGTCTGTGTTAAAATATATTTTTAAAATTTTACAAAACTAAACAGCCTACAGTATTTTTACAGTCTATTTTAAAGTTAAAATATATGTTTAATAAATAAAGTCTAATGTTACATGGATCCCTTTAACAGAGCTAAGATTCTCGTGTAGTGGATTAGTGGTTAGGGAACCTTAACTTGGGTTATCTGTGCCCACCACTCTAAGTTTATTTATTTATTTATTTATTTTTATCACCACTGTAAGTTTATTAAAAACATGCCACAGAAGTCCTAGCCCGACCCGACCATTAAACTTGTCATTTTGGTCTGAGCTGGCCTAAATTTCGGGCCAGCCTCGGGCTATAAATCTAAATTTTATATATAACTATGTACTGTTCTAACCGGTGGAAAAACTTTTGTTTTCTTTCCCAGTGTGCTTTCCTGGTGTGGTGCATGGCTCCGACTCCCACTAATGGGTCCATCCAGATTTATCACCGCATAATTCGACCCATTTTCCTCAAGAACGAAGGCAAGATCGATGATGCCATGAAGAACATCACAGACACAGCTTCGAAGACTGCTGACAAATTTAAAGAAGAAGGTATAACTCCTTTCATCCTAAAAGTGTTGTAGTCCTGTCTTGCAGGCTTTAGATGTCTCTTAAATACGTCTCTGTTTACTCATCCACCGTTCTTTTAATTGTACTTTGGGTTAGAAAGAGGCTCATGTCATATAAACAAATCTTTGTTTAAAGGGACAGAAAGTCTTTTGTAATCCAAAAAGACATTGACCTGTTTTGGTAATTTTATAAGGTCAAAACATTCTTAGAAAGTCATGAGTTTTGCTAAAAGTGACAAATTACTGGTAACACCACTTCTCTCCACACATTTTGTTTCCTCAGCTAAGAAAGCCACAGCAAACCTCATCTTCGAGGAGAAGAAGAGCTCTTAAAACTGCGGCCTTCCCAAAGTCATCTCCAAATTCCAGAGGGACACAGAAGAAGGAACGCCCTGGATGTTAATTTTTATGTTCTTGCATTTTGTGTGTTAACTTAAGCTTTATGCCAGCTTTGTTGCCGATATATATCATGTATCATTAAAGTCATTCTACGTATTGATTAGGTTCCGTTCACCACCATCCTCTTCAGGAGGTAACTGAACGATGGACGCCTTTATTGTATGCTTTTTAAATCAAATAAAACCAAATAAATGAGGTGGTTGTTTAATACTGATTCTTCCATCCTAGTGTCTGTATAGGAAAACAAATAATAAAAAGGAGTCCAAAGTAAAGATAATGCACAGCATGTCTGCTGAAACACTTCGATCATCATCAGTAAAAATCCAGAACCTCAACCTGATGTGATGTGGACCCTGAGAGCTGTGTACAAACGCCCACAATTCTTAAAGAACTGAACCAACGTTGCAACATGGGAGGAATTTAATTTTGAGTCCTGATATCACCCCGGTGAAAGAGGGTGAACTTTGTTTTTCCTCCCGTAACTGTAGTTGAAAGTACATTTTGTCTCCAAACTGTACTCTGTCAATCACAAATCATTTCCAAACACTTGAGTTTGAAAACAGTTTAAAACATAATGAAAGAGTTCCACTTTGAAAATGCATCAAATAATTTGGCAGCTCCACAGATGAGCTGCAAGTCACATTTTCATGTTTACAATAAATGAGACTAAATGTGAAAGCAGTCTTTTTGCAAAGGATGTTCTCTGCTGTCACTCTAGTACTATGATGTAGACCAGTGTTTCCCAAAGTTGGGGTATCGAGACCCAAAGTGGGGTCCCGAAACATCAAGGTGGGGTCCTGAAAAGATTTTCTGAATTAATTACATTTTTGTCTTAGTTGTTACAAAGGAGTGAGGTTAGTATGTTTAAAATGGATAAATGTAGTTTAAAAATATTGTTACTATGCCCATGTTTAGTT